GGTACCTCCTCCAACCAGCCCACGGCCAGGAGCAGGGTGTCCTATCCATCTACACACCCTGGGGTCACCTCACCCCACCTTCCTCTCATGGGACCCCTGCCATACCTGTCACCTGCACATTCAGTGTCTTTTGTCGGTAGGTGTGTTTTACATCAGCTCCTCTCTCTAGGTGGAAGATGTAGGTCCCTGCGTCTCTCTTCTTGGCGTCCCTGATGCTCAGCGTGCAGCTGTTGGTCATGGGGTCCCCAAGGAGGTGGAATCGGCCCTGAGTGTCTGTCTTCACCCATCGGTGTGGGCTATTTGTGACCACTGCAGGATCATAAGGTATTCTGTCCCCAGACCGGAACCAGGAGATGTCGAGTGGAGGGGAGCCCCAAGCTGAATTCCAGGGATAGAGGAATGTGCAGGGAACCAGGACACACAGGCCTTCCTGCACCGTCACCCGCTCCGGCACTTGTAGCTCGAACCCCTCATCCTGCTGCAGGGACCCTGGGGGGACACAGGGACTCAGAGGCCGCCCCGTTCCCAGCCTGAGTGCTTCCCTCACCCCTCAGCCCACTCACCCCCCCACAGCAGGGGCAGCAACAGCAGGGGCAGCATGTGTGTCGGCCGAGTGGGGAGCCGGGTCCCCCTGTCAGGGAAGGAGATGTGGGGAGCAGCCAGGAAGCCCCAACAGGAAGCGTGTGGGTGAGAGAGCGGGGCCACCCTGAAGGGGAACTTGGGACATCAGCTGTGGAGTGGGGGTGGGTCAGGGGGACCCTGCAGCCCCGCCCCTCGCTGTGGCTGGAGACACTGAGGTGCTGAGATGCTGAGGGGCTCTCGAGACCTGCAACGGGAAGTCCTCAAGACACAGAGGGTGCTGCACCCTAAGGGCCAGTGTGGGATCACCAGGGACAGAGGGCAGACGGCGTGAGGACTGAGGGCCCTCCCGGTCATTCACACAGAGGATGCTGCACCCTAAGGGCCAGTGTGGGATCACCAGGGACAGAGGGCAGACGGCGTGAGGACTGAGGGCCCTCCCGGTCATTCTGGGGGCTGCTGTCATACTCACCATCTGCTGAGAACCACTGATGTTCTCAAAAGAAATCATTTCAAGTTTTCATAAACCATGGAAGAATGTCACTGAATGGTACATGGAGAAATGGTTGAGGGCGTATGTGTTTCATTATGTATATTTTCATCACAGTCAACAACAAGAATCATTGAGGGGGTATCAAGGACGAAATTTTCAGACCCAAATCTAGAGTCGGGTCGGAGACCAGAGCGGGGAGCTGTGGTAGTTCTGGGTCAGCTTGGCTAAGCCCGGTTGTGAGTGGCTGGGCAGCTGCATGTCGTTACTCCCCGTGGGGAGACGGGTAGTCATCTCCATGGGGAACTCCCACAGGTGGCTGAGTAGCCCCTCTAGGGATGTGGTCTGCTTCCTGCACATAAGGAGAGGCTTGGGGAACGGTCTGCAGGTTTTGGCTGCTTGGACCCTGCACGTAGCCGAGTCTTCATTCAGCAGCCTGCCATGCACTGCCGAACTTGGGACCTTTCTGGACTTGACTTCATGCTCTTCTGTGTGGTGTGATAACCTTGGGACTGTGCCTTTTTACTTGTCGACCTTGGGTCTGTCAGGCTCAGCAGCCAGCAGCTGTCTGAGTGAAGAAAGCCTCCAGCTTCAGTGGCCGGGAGCAGGAGGCAGAGCTGAAGGCCAAGGTTGAGGGGCTTTCTCCCAGCCCCTAGAGCCGGGCACTTTGAACTCAGACTTCTAGCCTCCAAAGCTGTAAGAGAACACACTCCTGTTTGTAAAGCCATCCCATTGGTGGTGTTTTGTTAGAGCGGCACTAGGGAACCAGCACAGGAGCCCAACTCTGAGACCCCTCTGCCATGAAGGGGTTTGCTGACCGTGGCACACTTGGGTTTTGATTTTCGTGGGCCAAAGTCATGGTCCTGTGGTTCAGAAAAGAAGCCAGGCCCACCCATGACAGGACACCTTAAGGAAGAGTCTCAACCCCTTAAGCAGGGTCCCAAAGGGACAGAAACATGCAGATTTGCAGAGCAGGGTCCAAATAAGGAAAGCAGTTCTGGCCACAAATTAGGTTTCCATGGATGTGCAGCATAAATCAGCGTCACCTGGGGGTTGAGCCGACTTCAGCTCGGGCAGATGAGATGGTCCACAGATGGAAATAACCAAACCTGGTCCCAAATTAAGTGGATTCCAACCCACAGCGCCCCTAGAGGACAGAGTGGGACTGCACCACGGGGTTTCCAAGGCTGTCAATCTTCACAGAAGCAAAGCCCAAACCACACCCACTGCCATGGAGTCCATTCTGACCCACAGCGCCCCTAGAGGACAGAGTGGAACTGCCCACAGGGTTTCCAAGGCTGTCAATCTTCACAGAAGCAAAGCCCAAACCACACCCACTGCCATGGAGTCCATTCTGACCCACAGCGCCCCTAGAGGACAGAGTGGAACTGCACCACAGGGTCTCCAGGCTGTCAATCTTCACGGAAGCTGACTGCTGCATCTTTCTCCCCAGAGCTGCTGGTGGGTTCGAACCATCGACCTTTCAGACAGCAGCCGAGCATTTAGCTACTGTACCAGCTGGGCTCCTTGAAGCCCTAAAGAAGGAGAACAACATGGCAGTGCTGTGAGAAGGTAATATGGCCGACTGTCACCATGAACGTGAGGTAAGGGAAGATCTGTGAGCAGAGAGGAATCGTGCCACGTTCCTACGAGCAAAACCCACCGCCTGCTGTGGAGCTGGCATTGGTTCCTGGGAGCACGTATGTGGAGGCAGCTGAAGACGGGCGGGATTATACTCCAAGGTGCGTCAGGATGGACTCAAAGCCCCACCTTTCTGTTCTCAGCTGAGCGCCTTGGCTGTTGGTATCACCCAGGCCTCCAGTGAGGGCTTGGCTGGCCAGTGTAGGCTTCCGGGCTCCGAGGAAGGCTAGGATTCCATTCCTGGCCAACGCCATCGATTTGTGGTATTTCTGCTGTGGCCCCGCCAGAGGACCAAGCCAGCAGATCGTAACTCACGGTGCCCAGGTGTGCAGAGCAGAACTGCTGGACAGGGTCTTCAAGGCTGTGTGACTTTTTTTTTTTAAGACCTTGTTTTACATTCAATGTCATGCGTACATTTAGTTTCATTCCCCATTTACCATGTCCAACCCTAACCCAGTCTCCTCCCCTCCCTACCCTGCAACCCTCCCCCTGTGCCCCACGTATTTGTGCTCCTGTGTGTCCTGCATGTCCTCAGTTTGAATGTCGCTCTTCTGTGTCCCGTGATCTTTGGCTCTAAGGGATGTATTACCATTCAGTGTGTGAGTGTGGCAACCTGGGTTGAATGGTCTGCGTGTACATTGTTAACTGTTGGGCTGAGAGCCCACCCCTGGGGTTGAGTTTTATTCCAGGTGCAGAATGTCTTCCAGGGCCATAGTGTTGGGAGTCTCACCAGATTTCATCTGACCAGTAATTCTGGTCATTATTGAGTTTTTGGATTTTGTTCCATGTTTTCCCTCCCACTCTATCCCAGATCTCTGGATTTGATCCTTTCCTGAGTGGTTGGCATTGGTAGCCGGGCACCATCTGGTTCTTCTGGTCTCGAGGGCCATCGTGTCCTAGGGCTGATTGCTTCTAAATGCCTTTTGTATGTGTATGTGTGTGTGTGTTCTTCTTCACTTCTGATGCTAGGAGACCATTAGCTGCATCTTAGATGGCTACTTGAAAGCTTTGAAGACCCCAGGTGCTACTAACCAATGTAGGATGTGGAGCAATGCTTTTAAGTATTTTGTTGTGTCAACTGAGTCTGGTGTCCCCCAGTACTATGGTCCTGAGATGGTAGATCTATTGGATCTCTCTCCCATAGTGTCAGGATGTCTGTGAGGGATTACTCTGTGTCTGTCTTCTATTGTTTCTGTAAGGACTGCAGGTATTTTGTATCACTGGTGACTGTACAAGATTAGCCTCAGCTGAGTCTATCCCTGGTCTAGAGCATACCTCTATTCACTGACCCCTGTCTGATCATCTCAGGTGTTTATGTGTTTACCTGTATGGTCTAGTGTTCGGTGTTAATGGCAATGTAGTATTGTGGACACATTTTGGAAGCAGATACCAGGCCTGTCTTCTGAGGGGGGAATAGGTGGACTTGAACTGCCAACCTTTTGGCTGGTAGTCAAGCACTTAACCGTTTGCATCACACAGGGACCCCCCCCCTTCCCAATAATAATACACGTTGGTTAATAAATGGAGCAGGAGTGTGGACCCAAAGGACAGTCGTGGAGATAAGCAACATGCATGAAAGGGTTTTGAAAATAAGATGAGTTTCTGGTTCTCCTGAGGACAGACGGCAACAACCAACACGGAGGCTGTGCTTTGGACCTTCTCATCCTGCTCATTGTGGCCACTGGAGCCCAGTAACCATGTCCCTGGCTGGAGTGGATCTCAGGATCTGGGACCTCGGGTCTACGAGAAAATAGAGCTGCTAGTCCACGGGCTGTCCTGAGGCCTCACACGCTCTGGGCTGGTTCCCTGGGATGAGAGACAGACACGTCTGCAGTGGCAGCCCGCTCCTCCACCTGGGTCCCTCTGGCTTCATCCCACTCAAAGCCAGAGGCATGTGTAGGCCTGGAGCGTTGAGCTGTTGCCTGGGGACCACCTCAGCCCCTTACCGCCATGCTCTGCCCCTTCTGTTAGGGTTGAGAAGCAGATGGGTGAGGGGGAAGGAAGTTGCAACTGGAAGCCCCAAGGTACAGAGAGAAGGGCGGGAAAGGAAATTTCCCCATCATCTCTGCTGGGAAAGCTGGGTCCCCAGGGGGGGAAGGGGCCAGGCTGGCACCTCAGGAGCACGCTGTCCAGGGTCATAGAAGTTAAGTGACCCACAGGGCTGGGGTGGGAGGAGAAAGCACCCATGTCTACGCTCAAGAGGAGCTAGAAAGTGTTGGGGTTATTTGGCAAAGGGTGGGGAGCCTGGCTGCACGACCAGGGGATGTAGTCAGGTCATGGGGTTGTACAGATGAGCATGGTTCACATGGCTTCCATTTTGTTGTGTGTCTTTTCACCACAACAGAACAAAATCGAAAAAAGGGGAGTTCTGGAGTTTATCTTAAAGACAGGACTATAGATATCTATGTATTTGCACACACGTGATTATTAAGAGGGGTTAATGATCATTTTTAGTGAGGTAAACTTCGCATAACGTAAAATTACTAATGGAAAGTTTAGAGACCAAAAAGCAAACCAATCTCATTGCCATGGAGTTGACTGACATGGAGTTGATTGTGATTCATAACAACCCCCATTAGGTTTCCGAGGCTGTAAATCTTCCCAGAAGCAGACTGCCTCATATATCTTCCATGGAGCGGCTACTGGGTTTGAACCACTGACCTGTTGGTTAGCAGCCAAATGAAAACAAACACAAAAACCCAAACTCACTGCCACTGAGTCGGACCCGACTCATAGCGACCCCTCCTTGGGTTTCCGAGGCAGTATCACTACGGAAGTAGATTGCCCAACCTTCC